ATGAATACCATTATAGGATTCAAAAATTTCATAGGGAAGTCAATAATTCACCTAGTGGAATTTCTATCCGAAAGGTCCATTGATAACCTCGGGTAAGAATGCTCCAAGTATTATTGAAATACTGGCGATGGCGTGTATTGCAATACTTGGCCAAGGAGTATGTATTATAACTTTCGAATTTCTGGCTTTTCTTAATTCCATATGCACGGCACGGTTTGAATGATTCAGTAGTATAATTGCATTTCTAAGGATGCTCGAGGTTTAGTTTTGCATTCAAATAGAATTTATATAGAGTCTAACATAATTAAATTCATGAATAATCTGTATTTCTAGGTAACATGAATGAATTAAACAATACGATATAAATAGGCCAGTAGTAATTGGTAAATGGGAATTCAATCATAAGTAGGTGGCCTACGCATTTTGTTTGGTCGACCCAAACTATATGAATTCAGAATTCAAAATCAATTACAATTTATGGTTTACTAAAACGATAAATTGTGTGAATCACTGTGTGATCAGTACAGCCAGTTATTCTTTAGCTTAGAACATAATAGGCATAGGTCCCTATGAGAAATATCTTCTGGAATCAACATTTATAAAAAAAAATAAATGCAATTTAGAAGTTGTTTATTCCATCATGGTATTTTTTTCATTCAAATGCCGAAACGAAGGATGCAGCCCCCCACCCACCAACCCTACCCGGTCGGAGAGACTCTTTTCCGATTGAAAGTCCGCCTACACACGTACGCTTCCAAATAAATTATTAAAATATTAAATCCAGTTGGCGTAGGTCTACGCAAGTGTGTCCAACTTCGGGAATCCCCTAATATCCCCTGAAGAAAAAAAACCAGACACCAATGGATCAAATGATTGCGTTTCCTGTCTGCTGACTCAGTCGGGAAGAATAATAATAGATCCGTGAAAATTCCCCGGAAAAAGACCTAACAATAATTATGACCAAACTCTTTATCAATGTGGCATTGTCAGAAACACAGAATGTGCTATCCCACCCACTAATCCTATAACAAATGATAAAATAGGCCTAAAAATTCAAAAATGTGAACATGAAATGATTGGAATCTATTCATGATACTTATCCCTATTAATATAATGTTTAAAAGCGACTCTAAATCTCAAAAGTTTAGATGTGTATAAGAGACAGGTGGTAGGTACACATGTAGATATGAATATTGACAAAAATATCATTAATTTGGCGGCCATCTTGAAATCCAATAGTTCGGCGCCATCTGACATAATTTCTGATGATTGCATTACACTCCTTGATATTGAAAACATGGGTAATGATCTTCAATTGGCAATGACATGTGCTGTAGATATGAATATATTGGCTTAAAAATCAATTATTTTGGCGGCCATATTGGATTTCAAGATGGCGGCCATTAGGAGGCCTTATTTTTTGGGGTCTATTTATTTTAATGATCTTCAGCTGTCATAGTATCACTGTGGGAAGTTTCATGCTTTCTTCCAGAAGTGCACGATTCTACCCGAAATTCAACCTTAGCCGCTTTACTACTATATCTTGGAATTTATATCTCTAACACTAACACCGACTCACGACATATAGAAGAGGTTTTAAGAAAAGGTAATACGATCATATATAAAGGAAATTATCTATAAGCAGGACAACTTTAACAGAGTTTATTTTGGTGACTCACTCAATGATAAAATAGGCCTAAACATTCAAAAATGTGAACATGAAATGATTGGAATCTATTCATGATACTTATCCCTATTAATATAATGTTTAAAAGCGACTCTAAATCTCAAAAGTTTTATTCTCGCTTATTGAACTGTGAGGCCTCCCAAAAGTGCCTCAGTTTTACACAAACTGATTGATTGATTCCTATTCCTAATAACACTATTACTTAAAATGCTATTCGACAGTTGTTATCAAAATCAAATAATTAATTGAATCCAATTTTAATGAAGAAGGATTAACTGATAGTGTTAAGGCAGTATTTCAGAGTATCAGATTGTATTAATGTCGGAAGAGGCATGGCACACCGAGTTACTTGTATTTTCATGTGTTTTGCGATGTAGGCCCTATGTGTTATATAGGCCTATGATGTGTTGATACACAGTTGTAGGCCCCTATTTTATCTCTCCGATTCGGAGGTTTTTGAAATTGCCAGCGGTATCAGTTTTTATTCCGAGTTACCAATAGGCCTAGGCCACGGGAATTTTTATTTTGTACGTTCTTTATTTATTTATTCGGATAATAAATCTCGACATCAATCCCAGGGGGAAAACTAGTACAGTTCACAAAAGCAATGCATAGAATACTCCAACACGACATGCAATGAATGGTTCAAAAGCTATCTTAAAAATAGAAAACAATTTGTATACTGCAATAATAGCAAATCAAAATTGAATTCCATTAACATTGGTGTTCCTCAGGGTAGTGTTCTAGGACCTATTCTTTTCCTCTTATTTATTAATGATATTTCACAATCTATCGGAAATGGTATCTGTAGCATTTTTGCTGATGATGTAGTTGTTTACACATCCAGTAACAACGTAACTATAATTAATGATTCATTACAAAATATAATGAACAATGTAAAAAAATGGTATAATGATAATCACCTTACCATTAATACCGATAAAACTAAAATAATGCTTCTCAGAAATAATCAATCTAGGACCATTATTAACACCTTAAATATTGTTCTTGATAACACAAAACTTGAACAAGTTTCCAGCATAAGGTACCTAGGAGTTATAATTGACGACACTCTAAGTTGGAAACAACATGTGCCCAATATTTCTAAAAATGTGGGATTTAAAATTACAATGTTGGGCAAAATGTCAGGGTTTCTTAATAAATCACTATTAGAAACTCTGTACTTAAGTACTATTCAGCCTTATTCTGATTATGCAATAACTATTTGGGGAAATTTGTCCGAACTTAATAAGAAAATTGTTAAAAGACACCAGAGAACGGCGGCTCGTATTATAACGGGTAACTTTGATTATCGAAGTATTAGAGGTGATGATATTATTCATTTTTTGTCCTAGCAATCGTTTGAAGAGAGAAGGGATTTTGCCATTGCGTGTCTTATGTATAAATGTATTCAAGGTCTTGCGCCGCAAAGGCTTTTAAATGAAATTGCATTAGTATGTGATAGGCACACACATGCAACCCGTAGTGGGAACTTACTTCGAGTGGTTACACCTAAATTTAACTCGTATAAAATGAGTTCGAGTCTTAAGGTTGCCGGAGCAAAAATCTGGAATGAATTACCTTCAGATATCACCCACTCACCTTCAATTTATTCTTTCAAAAAGACTTACAAGGCTCACTTCTTCCCCCTTAATTGATTTCTGGCCTTGTCTGATAACTATTTAGTTTTTTCTGGTTTTGAAAAGCCGCACCCCCTTATTTGAGGTGGCGCCGTCAACTTAGCAGTGCACGGTAGGGGAGCCGCAGGCTTATCCTCGGTGGAAGCTACCGGAGCCCAGCAAACTGACGCCGAGGTACCTGCGTGTACACGGTAGTGATGGCGGCGACATCTCAAAAGCGGGGGCGCGCGTGTGCCATTTTCGTGATTTCTGAAGAGGAAATGAAGGAAAAAAAGAATGAAAAAGGAAAGAAAAAAAAAGAGTGGAATTGGGGAGGAAAAGGGGTTCGAAATTATGATTATGATTATTAATGCCTGACTCTGGGTGTGTTTTTTTGTTGTTGTTTATTATTATTGTTCAATTTATTCTTTTCAAAAAGGCTCATGCTCAAGAATTTACTGATCATTTGAATTCATTGGACCCGGACATTAAATTCACAACAGAGGGCGAGGTAAACCGTTCGCTGGCTTTTCTTGATACGCTTACAGTAATACAGAATGATGGTAGTATTAATATCAAAATCTACAGGAAACCGACACACACTGATCAATACCTTAACTTTAACTCTAATCACCCTCTTCAACATAAATTAGGGGTCATCAATACACTTTATTATACCTTGATCCCCTAGCTACGCCACTGGAAAACAATGCACTGTACGTTGTTAACATTGGAAGCGTGAAACCTATTAGGCCACAACATTTTCACAAACTCAAACGTGCACAATTTCCACTATAAACGATTTCGTTTGTATATTAAGTCCCATAAGTGTTCAATATTATCTGCATACATATAGGCCTATTCCTAATTTTCCTAATTTCAAAAAAAATTATACAGTAGTTACTATCAATTGCATTTTATCCTTAACAGTGATACCACAAATACGAACTCCGAGTACTTGACGCCATCTCGCCATGACATCATGACTCGTCATGACATCATGATAATGATAAATTAGGTAAAGTGTCGCAATACTTACACAAAATTGAAATTCAAGAGGAAAAAAGGAAAAACCTTGATTCAATTTAAAAGTACTGTACAAAGAGAATAGAATTGGAGACTGTTTTAAGTTTATCCATGAAGGAACATGTTTTATTATTTGTTTTTCATGGTTCGAATACGTCTCAAGTCAATAGATAATAAATCATTATTTTTATGAATGTTACAGTAGTTTGCAAGAAGCGGGCATGATTATGATTACCAGGATAAATTAAAAAATACTTGAAGCATTATTACTTGTTTTTAATTAGGCCTATATTTGTTGGTTATAAGACCATGTATAATGTTGTATTTTCCATTTTCCCTTAATTCTCCATTTCTTCTATCACGTTTTCATGTAGGAGAAAACATGATTTCCTTCCCTCCTTATCTTCCCCATGGGTATTGAGTGTGGTTGTTCCAATTGGAGTCGATGTTATAAATCAAGATCAAATATAATACAGTAACAGAATTTAGTATAATAAATTTCGCAATTGTCTATCCATTTCATTGGGGTAATTTTGATTAATTAACTAAAATAATCAGTTACTTGTTAATTGGTCGAAGCAGCTTTACAATCGGAGTACAGCAGGTGTAGAAAGTGCGACACGCCATCCAGTTTGTCACGTGACTTGTTTATGTTTAGATTTTTTTTGGACTTTACTTCCGTGTTGAGCTAGCTTTTGACGTGCACTTTACATTGTCGATCAAGCCTGCTTATGCTGTTTCCGTGGCAAGACCTCTCTAGGCCTAGCCTATTTTTGCTTTATGCTTACGAGCTAAAAATACCTTAATTAAAGCTTAAGTTTAATGAAATTACTTCATATGGCTGAAGACATATTTGGAGTTTGAATTGAGGGGTTTTTAAAGGTGAGTAATTTCTTAAGTTATGAAACTGACCACCGTTTTAATTGCGTTAGACTAGCCTACTAGTACTAGGTAGGCTATTGTTGTGATCTTTTTAGCTTGGCTATGCCTAGGGACTAGCCTAGGCCTGGACAGTGAAATGTTTAGATTTTAACTGCATACCCTATCTCAATCAATAAGGGGCCTTAGTGATTTTTTCCTTACCCTACGCCTACAAGTAGGAGATTCATTGCCTTCAGGTGTATACAACAATTCACCACCACTCCAATAATAGTAATTTGAAATTAAACTTGGCAAAATATAAAGCAGCTAGGCCTAAGCCCTAGGCTAAACAAACCTCAAAACATTGATATTTTTAGGCCTAGTATACAAATAACTAGGCCTATGGTAGCACAAAAAAGTACAAAAAATGAAAAACTAACAAACCAATAGCAAAAATGAAAAAAAAATCAATCAATTAAGCACTACAGCATGTTAGAAAAATACAGTATCCACTTCAAAAAAAATATTACGGCAACAGTTTTTACTCAATAAATTTGAAATTTGATAGTTTATGTTTTTATTTTTTTATTAAAAATATTTGTGCTGGTGAGAAAAAATTGAGTTCCACTTACAAGTGCAGCTATAATGTAAAATGTAATGTACTGTATAACTTGGTCTTGGTCCATTTTTTTCAAGTATAGTTTGTTCGGTAGACTAATTTTCATGTAGTCTTCCTAATTTTCAAAAATTAAGCTCATAATACCAAAAAACGGTACAAATATGTGTGTATTTGTGTCAACTCTGTCATAAAATAAATATATAAAAATAAATAAATAAATAATGAAAATAAAATTAATAAAATAATGCAGAAAAAAGGCTACATGTACATCCTGCAGGTAGAAAACAGCGCCGCAAGCAGCTCTACCAATAGATGGATATGTGCACCTAATAAGATGACATTAGGCCAAAAAAAAAAAATTGTTTGTTTGCCCTCCTCCACCCGCCCCTAACTCACTCAAAAAATAGGGGCGGAAAAACAAAAAAAAAAACTTAAAAAAAGTTTTTTTTTTAGCTTTTTCTTAACAAATTAAAAAAATGTGAGTGAATTTACCTTTATATTTTTTGTCAGATGTCCTACAAATTAGTCTAAAGTTGTTGTTTGATATTGCTATACGGTATGACATTGACAAAAAAATAAAACATTAAATACTGTACAAAAGAAAACTATAAAAAAATATATAAATTTAAAAATTAATTTTTCATTGCTTATTTTGTTACACAGAGTTAAAAATGTATGGAATTTGGCACAAATGAATTTCGAAAATTGCAGCATGATGTACGTGGAGGGTAAAGTCTTATACCGGACCTGTTAAAACTAAAATAATCATGGAGAGAATGTGTTGGGTCATTCATTATTTGATGTATGTTTAAAGGGACATGCTTCTCATAAACCGTCGCAATTGATGGAAGGTCATTTTTAATTATTCGATGTGCCATTTTACGAGGTCTTTCTATTTTCTCTCGCCCCCATTTTAAAAAGTAAAAAGAAAAATAAATAGAAAGAAAAAAAAGAAAAAAAAAACAATCCCTCAAAACGCCTCAGAGGTTATTTTCGGGCGTCTACAAAACAAAAATTTTGCGAGGCCCATGACCCCTAGGATGGTGTTATCTCGATCAACCACACTTTGGCCCCCCCCCCCCCCCCCCCCTTCTGACATCTCTGGATCTGGACCCCTGGTTTATTTATAAATTTTCTGTTTATTTTATTGAGCTTCTGTTTCGACACAGATTGAACTGAACTTGCATGATACAATAAAGTATCAGGCTAAAAGTAACAAGTAAAAGTAAAGTAAAACAGGCTAAAAGTACCAGCATAAAGGGCAGTATGAACAGGTGAAAACAACGGCTTAGCCATCCAGCCATCCAGCCGTCTTTTGGACGGCCAACAATTATTTATGACAGCCACAAAATCCAGTACATTTACAGTATTAGAAACAACTTATACTGTAGAAAGATAGGCAAAGTGCGAAATGAACCCCACAGAGTTAATGGCTAACCATTCTTTAGTTACAAAGAGTTTTTCTGATTAGTTTTACCATATAAGGTTAATTATTCAATAGAGTTTTTTTTTTATCCATAGTATAATATTACTGTATATTAACAACTTCCTGTTACCTTCTATTGAACATAAACAAACAACTCTATAGTATGTTATTTATTATCCATATACAGTGATGTATGTATCTATAAGTCTTGATATGGGGACAGATAGAAGGATGCTATGGTGAACTGGGGGCTGAATTATTAAGTGAAGTTGGGGGGGGGGGCTAGCTCACAAAATAAGACTGTCTCTTATAA